GTGCCAGTTGTGTGATATATCACCCGTGTCTAAAAGCTTTTTGGTTCACGTTCTTCACTTGAACTCGTGACTTTTGGAGTCAGAGGTATGGATATTAACCACTACGCCGGGGTCGCCCCCGTTCTTCACCTTGGAACAAGACTGTTTTTCGTGTTCCCAACACAGTTTCTGCTACGCACGGAAGGTTCAGATTCAGGTGAGCCCAGGCCTGCCCCAACATTGTTTATGTTTTGAGAGTTGGTGCACAGGTAGATTGAGTTTAAGGAGTCACTGAGTACGGCAGTATGAAAATTGAATAGAAGTTGAAAATGAGCGAAGGGCCATTAATACGACAGTACTACTCATACATGAATGGATGAGGAGACTTTGAAGTAAGTATTTCTTCAAATCTACAGGCAAAAGACTGCGCGTTTGACTTGCTCATATACTTTCTGCAGCTGTCGAATAGTTCTAGCGACTTTTATCACTACACTCAAAATAATCTACACGTTGAAGCTACGTGAAACATCACGTAAGCTCTCAATTTTTCCTCTTCTCTCAGTTTTACGTGGCTCACGTAGAATGTATGTGATGTCCCATGAATTTCACAGAGAGTTCTTTTTTAACACACCTACATAATCAATTAAATGTACGTGATTTTCACATAACACTGAATCTATGTGCGTTTCTCTTAAAGCTTATGTGATTTCCACATCTAAAAAAAGAGTGGTACGTACACTCAGAGTGGTGCAAATCATGGCGGCATCATGATATGCTTTTGTTCGGTATTTTTGAAAGATATTGACAAGATGTAAGTATAGCATTACGGATTACTTTATTCTCTTTAACAAAAATTAACTGTCTATTTCATCGTACTCAACAGAATTATGTCAAGCTGTCCATCAGTTTCTTCCTCTAAGGGAAGCAGTACCTCAGCCCATCTCCCTGATCGTCCAGATTGTTTGTGCTGAGTATCGAATATTTAAAAAAAACTGATGTGGTGTATTTAGAATATTTGAATAAATTAAAGGAATATTATTTCATTATACTACTATGAAAACAGTAAAGGTTGTATCTAGATATTATTTGCATAAACAGTGTCAAAATATTGATACTAGAACCCTCCAATGGATGGCATTGACCAAATCACGTAGCTTCTATGTGATAATCCTGTGACGATTAAGCTTAATGAAATGAGTGCCTCTACATGATAATCAGGTAGCTCTTATGTAAAAAGTACGATGGAAAAAATCTACGTATGTTTTCACGTAGCATTTACGTGAAAATTATTCTGAGTGTACCTAAAGCCCCAGCAATTCGACAGTGAGCATGCATAAAGACGTATACGCGATGATCGATTCTCTTCATCGATTTTCTCTTTGCATTGCTACAGCTAAGCGAAACAACTTTCTAGAATTTGTTCAATGCAGAGTTGTAACAGGTTGTAATGGCTATCAAAAACAACAGCAAGCGCACCGAGAAACGTTAATTATAGCGAGTTATTAACAAAAGAGAAAATCGACGAAGAGAATCTATCATCGCGTTTACGCCCTTATGCATGCTCACTGTCGAATTCTTCTTTACCAAACTATATTTGCTTCTCTCTCCATGACCAACGTAGTCCAACGTAGTGGCACAGCAAGCAACCAGAGTCAATGTTGTAATAAAGGTGTATTCAGATCTGTGCGATATTTCACGCGCGGAGAGAGATTTTGCGAAGGTACGAGAGGGAGAAAAGTACTAGTGTCTCTCTCATTCCAACGCAAATTTTGCTCCGCTCCGCTAATGTACGCTTAGATCTGAATCCACCTTAAGAGGTGATAAGAGTCCCGCCAAGAGTGAAGCCAGAAGTACCTAGGGGTTAGCGTTAGCGTTAGCGTTAGCGTTGTTATGATATACTTCGTAGATTGGATACTAGCGACACTCACGTCTCTTCTGAAATTCTCAGTTAGACTACTTTCAGGAATAATGCTGAGGAGTAAACATTGGTTCCAATCTAAACAAGAGTAACAGAAGCATGACTGTCGCTATTCCCGGCCACGCCCATCTTTACCATAACTAGGGATAGGGAAGGAAATGTTGATGTAGTACTTACTTAACGAGAGGCCACCGACTTAGCGACACCCTCATAAGTGCTACGGAGTTGGAGGGTTGGGTAGGGTATTCGGTTAGGATTCACCTCAAGTTGGCGATGCAACCAAAAGTATGTATTGTTTATTTGTTGTTTATTTAATCTCTCGATAGCCGGCTATCGAAAGAACATATTAATTTTGTTTAGTGATAATGAATTTTAAGAGTCATGACGGAGAGCTTGGGATTAAACCCATGATTTTCTGCTCAGTAAGCAAAAACGATCCCTCCAGGGTCATCGAGCATCTCAGAACCATAACGCTTCGCGACAATACTGGACTACGTTTTCGCTTGATATGCAAATAGTTTCCGAGGTTAATGTTCAATATCAAATATACAAATGGTGGACGATTTATTGTGCTGTGGAAGAGCTTGGGGTTCAATCCATGATTTTCTGCTCAGTAAGCAAAATCGATCCCTCGAGGGTCATCGAGCATCTTATAATCCACAGCGCTTCGCGTCAAAGTACGAATATATGCATGAACTATCTATTATTGAATAACTAATATTTACGATAATTAAATGAAATAAATAAAATATAAACTACAAACAAAACGTGACTGCTAAAATCTCAAAAAGATATTCTCACAAATATATTTCACGCCACCAGGAATCTCAAAACCATTAGACGTTATAATGATACTCTGCACATGTTAGACACAAGAAGAGGCCAAAAAGCAAGCGTCCGACACACAAAACCCGTAAAATCCACTTGCAGTCACAATCAACGATTCTACGAATCGTAAGCGCTCACGAATCATAAAACCGCTGACTGCGACACTCTGAAAGCGAAATTGACAGGCTCTATGCGTCAAACACCCGCCCTCCAATCTTCTCCAGCATCCAACAGCACAAATCTCCACTACAACATCTAACGAATTCAAAACTCCGAAAATCACTCATCTATAGCAAGTGAGTGGAAGCCTGCCTACCTTTCTATTAGGCCTGTGGACATGCGTTAGCTTCGAAACTTCTAACCAAACTGGGTAAATTTTCAGATCACAAAAAAAAAACTTGAAAAAAACTTTCATAGGTAATTACAAGTAAAATAAATATTGATTATTTTACGCAAAAACGAGCAAGTAATATTAAATCTTTTGTATCGTATACTAATGCCAATTGGCTGTAACAAAAATAATATGCTAAAATAAAATAAAATTTTAATAAAATGATATGCAAAATTTACTAGAAGATCATTACTTTATTGGTGAGAAGTTTCTAATAAGCCCTCCCAGTTCCTCTGTATACAGAACAAATCTGATACTATAATCAGAATTGCTCAGTCTGCATGAAGCAGCCGATTTCATCAAGGAAGTTCTATTAACAACCAAGAATTAATCGTTTGAGGCATACTGAAGCATTAAGAAGGTGATATGTGTCACTATAGGAAATCATCATCGTTGCAAATGTAAAGAAATTAAACATAACCCTTTGCTTCAGTACCGTCAACCTCCATGTCCATGGGGAGGGAGTGAAGCCAGAAGTACCTAGGGGTTGTCCATAAACTACGTAGACAGTTTTAGTGGGGGGGGGGGGTTGACAATTATCCACGGCCCATACAAATTTTAATTTTTTTTATATGGACAATCGTCTACGCAGGGGGAGGGGGGGGGGTGAAGAATCCCAAAAAACTGTCTACGTAGTTTATGAACAGGCCCCTATAACAAGCAAAGTAAATAAACATTATTGTTCCCACAGCTAGTGAACTACAAGTATTGCATTCATTACTGACAATATTTAAGTAATTTAAGATAAAAAGCATTACTTAGCTTTATTTAGTACATTGTGGTATTTATAAGTTATACCAAGCACTTGTTTGAACATTTTTCAGGTTTTATAATTGTTTTTGTTTCCCAGAAGCTCCGTTATCGACATGCAATTTTCGCTTCTGAATGAAATTCATACAATGCTAGCATAGCATAGCATAAACCAGGTTGCACAATGGCGTAGGTGGTACGAGCTCCAAACTGTTGTTAAGGAGGAGACCCACCTTGTTCCGTTGCTGTTAGATAGTAATTTGTGGTTAACCACTACCTCTTAGATACAGGATGAGTCTCCCCCCAACAGACTAGAGCTGTCCTTGCCACGTCCTTGCATCTGGTGAGGATGGGAGAGGAATGTTAGTCCGACACTTACTTAAGAAAGATGCTACTGCTGAACCGTCGGGTTAACCTCACTTTTTTTTGACATCTGGCAGTGGTTTGTTTACATGGATTTAGAAAAAAAAAATTTTAAACATTTTTTTAGATTTATTGGAGAGGAATATTTTTCAAGCGAACATAGTCGGATATCATATCTTTTAATTCTTTTCAAATCCTCAAATCCACTTGAATTGACTTACAAGCAAAGGTAAACAAACCACCACTAGATGTCAAACTGATGAATGCGGGTTCATCGCGTTCATTCGTGACGTCAGCGTGTAGCATCCTAATGATCAATACAGAATGAACTAGGGTAAACGCTCCTAAGTTGCGGTACGTTAGAATCGTTTACCTTAATAAAGTCACAGATGGAATAAAGCTCGGAATAAAGCGTTCGATGAATTTTCTCGTGTGTTGTCAGAAACGGGTAACAGTAAGTATACAATTTGATATTTCCTTGGGGCAGTCGAAACGAAGCGTATTTCGTATGACTTGGTTCCATAATGTGGGCATGACATATTTTTAAGAAACTATACTACTCATAATTCTTTGTCAGATTAGCCTAGAATAGAAATTGAAAAAAAAATCTTAACAAAGTGCCAAGAATACGTATCCAACTTCTGTAAAACGCAGAAGCCTAAAAATGAACAATGATTGATGTTTCCCCCGCAATGTTGACGGTTCTTATCAGAGCACTGCAATGTCATTGATATGTTAGGATGTGTGTTACCCTGAATCCAGTCTACTTACCAAATTTGTCCCAACATCAATGGCGGCAGTTGACTCTGCAGGAAGAATCCCTTGGCCTGCGCCCCGGTCACAACCCCGTTGACCGGTTGCAGAGACCTGAACTGCTCCCCATACTTTGCCCTCTCGCGGGACGTGATAACGAACGGATCGGCTGCATTCATAATTTTTTCACGCAAAAGAAACTTCTTTCGACTTTCTCGCTGCAACCACTTCTCCGGGAATGATTCGATAAACGCTATGCCCGTTATCAGAAATTATGATTTCACTCTCTTTCGATCTGCAAAGTGGGTGTTTTCCTCTTGTTTTCACTTTCCTTTCCTGGCGATCTGCTGATCACTTGCACTTGTGAGAAATCCTAAAATCGTTTGTTTTCCTATGCAATTATGAGAAAATTTACGATTTTTCACTCTGATGGAATTCCTTGCACTGCTCCTAGATGTGCTAATAGGTCACACACAGTAAAATTATCGATTATTTCCAGCGAGGAGTGGAACTTTGCCTTATCCTTTATCATTGGATTTTTCAACGCTCCCGATTTTACATTTCAACACAAATTTCACACGACACTTTTCGTTCACGGAAGCAATCTTCCCCCGAAGAATCAACTTTTCGGTTCCGGAATGGCAAAAGAAAACTCAGTTCCTTGTATTTTATTACTGCATAATCAAGGAATTTTCACGGATGCGACTCACTGGATCGGCCGTCTTTACGCGAGAAATTTTTCCTACTGAAACTTTTCTGACTCTCTCCCTGTCAGCGACTAAAAATTTTATTGGAAATTCAAACGTCATTTTCTGCGAGAGAGATGATCGATACTGGAAGGCGGCGGGTTGCTAAATCGAGCATTCCACGGATGTTGTTTTCAGACGGGTACACAGAGACAAAGCAACGTATCAGAACAAACAAAACCAAACCAAATTAAAGTTTTCAATATCAGTAAAACGGATTGCACACACCAAGTTGTTTTTTAAAGTTGTCGGTAAACATTTTACTGACTTTCAAACAGCTGAACATTCGGTAATCAGTTCGGGAAAAGTTTGGTTTACTTGCAATGTAAACTCAACTGTCAAAAAATACCGACTACACGGATAGAAATCTCCTTATACCTTTTGGAAAATTTCTATTACTGATTATCCATCAAATGTATAAGCAAAGATATCTAATTAACAAGATATCCCACTAATCAATTCTTCATACAAGGCATATAATGACTACCCTTATGTGATCGCAGTGCCATCTGTTGAGTGCACATTGAAACTGTTGGAAGTTCCCCGCCAACTTCACCACCAGGGCTCAAAACTGACAGGCGCGGACGAGGAAAGAGGACGATACCGTCCTCGAAGTCATCATCATTATATTGCGATAGCAAGATTCTTACTTGTTTGTGATTGCTCCGATTGTCAATCATTACCACTTTATACGCAACAGCAACACTTGAGAAAACAATCACACATCCAAGCGCGCATCATGCTTGTAATATTTTTTTGCTTTCGAGTGAAAGGTTTCCAATATACCACCGGTATCAGTAAGATGCAAATCTCTAATAGTAATTGATGATTTGCGGAGCTGGTGCTCATAATCTTAAGTATATATAATAATCATAAGTATAGAACATAGAAGTAAACATGGGAAAAACATTCACTGGAAATGCAACGTATCGAAATCATTGCTAAACGCAATAAAAATGATAAAATGTGTCGTCTTCTTTGGCCAATGCAGCACAATGCAATTCATGCAAATCATTACTTTCCTATTTTATAACGTAGGAGGTATTTGTCAACGCCGGTGAAAGCAAACGCAAACGGAAGTAGCCGAAGCTGAATGATGACGATGAGTGAAGACACCGCTTCGTGTTTTGATTTGCGCTGTACTGTCCACTCAGTTGTGTGGGTTCGTATATGTTTAGACGTTGGTGTGAGTGATTTCTTCCAACGCTGAAGTTCAACGTTGACTCGTCACTCGTCACTCGTCCATATCGTTGCGTACTGTCCAGTTTGGACCGTAGTTCCTCAATTTTCCTGCTGTTCTTCACTGATGGCGTGCGTCAAATAAGCAGGATGCAGCACTAGATGCAGCAAGTTTTTTTTACCCATTAATGAGTATATAAATACACATTTTTTGACGAGTACTACCCAAGTAACCATACACACAAAAAAGGAAAATTGTATAAGTGAAAATATTGAACTTTCAATTTAAAAGTATCCAAAAATGTGTTATTCTAACTACGAAAATATTTAATGCAACAAGGTTTTTTTCAAACCAAAAGTACAAATTTTGTTTTTAACTTGTAGTTTTAAAAGTGCAAATTTTCAATTCGAAAATTGTGCAACTGTCAAAACTTCGGTCAAAACACCTTCTTCGTGGAGATATTTCTACACATTTCTGGGTAGGTTAATAATAACGTGAGTGTAGAAAAACCAGATGGTGCAAATGCCAAGATTTTCAACTATTTGTTGATAAGGGATAATTATCCCGAAAAGTTAACAGACCGAGGAACAGACAACCGAGTCTGTCCGGAGCAGTCACGAATTGGAACTGATGGCGGCCACAGGGAATCATTCCGTTTAATGATTATGGTAGGTATAAACAACTTATTTATACTCAAATGACAATGTTTGCATTAATAACTTTTCTCTAACTGTCTTTTCATAGTGTTTCCATCCTTGAACCCGTTGATAGTGGCCGATTCTTGGCGGCTTGGAGGTAGCCCAACAAACAATTGAGAGCTCTTATAAAACACCTGAGTTGATCAAACGTTGAATAATAGCTTCCAGAGTTGAACAAGAATGTAGTTGTATTGCCATTTGATTAAAAGTTTTAAAAGCTGTTGGAGCACTCTTAAATGATTGTTTACGTTCGGTTTAACTATATGCTTTATAAGACCTACGATAACTTTTATAGCACCTTAGTTAAACTGATTCACAAGTATTCGCACTGGGTTCGGACCAATTTTTGAAACAAATTTCCACAGCAGTGTTGTATCTTACAGCAGCTTGAAACTAAATTTATTGTTATTAGTTTTAGTTCATTTTTATAATTAAATTCACCTTACATTTATTGTTTCCTGATTTCACTTCTATCTTTGCAGGTAACGTTCACCGCAGTATAATCTTTCCACGGTCCACTACGAAATAAACCTAAATGTTTATTTATTTCCTATTGATGAATTTGTTTTACTTACATCCGAATGTTTATTTAGCAAGACAAATATTTGCACCACGGATCAAACTATCCCTCGAACGAAGAACTCAAAAACTGTTCCAAATATTTGATTAATTTAATTACACTGCTTACAATCGATTTGCTAGTCACTGTTTGTTTTTATTTATGTTACTCTCTCACACTCTCATTCGCTTTGTTTCCACCCGTTCCATCATTGACGTTTAGGCGCAACGTTCATTGCGCTCCACAGGTACGGCACGGCGCAAGGTATGTGACCAGTGCTCGGCGGTGCGCACAACAAGAGTTATACAGAACGTGGAATAAACGCATCAAAACAAACAATTGGGAGCTCTTATACAACACCTGAGTTGATCAAACGTTGAATAATAGCTTCCAGAGTTGTACAAGAATGTAGTTGTATTGCCATTTGGTTAAAAGCTTCAAAAACTGCTTGGAGCACTCTTAAATGATTGTTTACGTTCGGTTAAACTGTTTGACAGGAGCCATATAGGATGTGGAATAAACGCATCAAAACAAACAATTGGGAGCTCTTATAAAACACCTGAGTTGATCAAACGTTGAATAATAGCTTCCAGAGTTGAACAAGAATGTAGTTATATTGCCTTTTTGGTTAGAAGCTTCAAAAGCTGCTTGGAGCACTCTTAAATGATTGTTTACGTTCGGTTTAACTATATGCTTTATAAGACCTACGATAACTTTTATAGCACCTTTGTTAAACTGATTGACAAGAGCTATATAGAACGTGAAATAAACGCATCAAAACAAACCATTGGGATCTCTTATACAACACCTGAGTTGATCAAACTGTTTGACAGGAGCCATATAGGATGTGGAATAAACGCATCAAAACAAACCATTGGGAGCTCTTTTACAACACCTGAGTTGATCAAACGTTGAATAATAGCTTCCAGAGTTGTACAAGAATGTAGTTGTATTGCCATTTGGTTAAAAGCTTCAAAAACTGCTTGGAGCACTCTTAAATGATTGTTTACGTTCGGTTAAACTGTTTGACAGGAGCCATATAGGATGTGGAATAAACGCATCAAAACAAACCATTGGGAGCTCTTATAAAACACCTGAGTTGATCAAACGTTGAATAATAGCTTCCAGAGTTGAACAAGAATGTAGTTATATTGCCTTTTTGGTTAGAAGCTTCAAAAGCTGCTTGGAGCACTCTTAAATGATTGTTTACGTTCGGTTTAACTATATGCTTTATAAGACCTACGATAACTTTTATAGCACCTTTGTTAAACTGATTGACAAGAGCTATATAGAACGTGAAATAAACGCATCAAAACAAACCATTGGGAGCTCTTTTACAACACCTGAGTTGATCAAACGTTGAATAATAGCTTCCAGAGTTGTACAAGAATGTAGTTGTATTGCCATTTGGTTAAAAGCTTCAAAAGCTGCTTGCACAGAAATTCAAAACAACCCAAAATTAAGTTCTTTTCACTCATCTCCCATGTTCCGTACGATAAGCCAAATTTGGGTAAACCGGCTCAAAGTAGTTTGCATTTAAGCACGGCAAAAAAAAATTACCCATCGCTAAGTTATTTTCAATTTTTTCTACCCAAAATTAAGTTCAATTAACTCAAATTTGGGTATATCGCATATTACTCAATTTTGGCTTCTCGTACGGAACTAGACGGTTGAGTCGAATCTTTCGTTCTATTTTTGACAACAATAGCGAGAGGAAATGAAACGGGCAGAGGTCAAATAACTCAAATTTGAGTTTAAAAAACCCAAGCGGTGGGTAGTTTTGTTTTTCTGTGTGGAGCACTCTTAAATGATTGTTTACGTTCGACCAACCACAATTTTGTTGCTAAAAATAGCACAAGTGATAGGCATGTTTATATAACCATAAGGCAATGATTATTTCGACTGCAAGAGAAGTTACTCAAGATGAGCTTGATATACTTCTCTCATATGATCAAAATATGTATTCAAGAATAGAGCAGATGGAAACAGAAGCGGCTGGCAATCCGGGATCATGAGTTCGAATCTTGCTTCGAGAAACCTTTGGTGGAGTAGAGGTTAATTATATATAGGTGTTATTAATAAATACAAACATTAATTTAAGACATATATCATATAATCAACGATAACATTTCTAGATAAATTCTCTCAATTAATGATTAGAGAGATTAATTGAAAGAATATCAATCAAAGATTAAACAGATGCTTGTTAGTACTTCCTCCATGATCACAGAATGTGAATTATGGCATAATTACATATTTTTTCAATGTGCACAAATAAATTAAATTAATAAAAACTGTACAAGCAATTATTTTGGCGTACCACGACAATTGTTAAACTAATTTTAATCTGTGAATATTGTGAGTACTTACACAACGGTTATTAAGGAGTCATTAAAAAGTGCTATAAACGCTTTTCACCGCTTGCTGTATAGTAATTATTTAGGAGTCATAAAAGAGTGTAACAAACGCCTCTCAGGTTCAATCTCTAATACATTTCGAAGCAGCTGTTAGGAGGTGTCTACAAACGTTGTATAAGAGCTTTCACCAAAATAATAAAGCTTGAGTT